GGAATAGCCCCCATTTTTTTCTTTTAGTTGAAAGAAGTGAACTAAACTCAAAGGTTTCATTTCTAATAAATTACACTGGGGAGAATTTGTATAAATGTGGCAAATTCTTAAGTCCCCATCCAACTCTCATTATTCATACTATAGAGAAACTATATAGATGTAAAGGTTGTGGAAAAGCCTTCAAAACAAATCCAGTTCCCTAACCTCTAGTTCTTGTTTTGTGAGCAAAACTCCAAGACAACCTTCCTGGAAATTGTGCTTGACAACAAACCACCTCCAAGAGACAGAGAAACTACAGAATGCTCCCTCCCAGCACTAACCAATGAGAACAGACTACCTTCAAGTAACAGACAAAGCCATAGAAACCACTACTGCTCCTATCTGTAGCCAACCAATCAAAAATACTAGCAAACCAGTTGTCCTGACTCTGGGTAATTCTCCTAATTGTTCCCCAAACTTAAACCAATCAGGATCTGACCCATGCTTACTGATGTAATTCTGTGACTTTTCTCCTTCAAATTCTGGCAATAGACAAAGGACTTTGCTCCCTTTGGAGGCTGCTGCATCAGCCTGCTGGTAGGAGTAAATAATAAAACCTGTCTCCTTGGTAGGCTCTTAGGGTCTTCGAGAATTGGGCACAACATAGTTTCTTGCTTATAGATTATGAGGTTAAAAGTGTTAATATTTTCAGTAAAATTTTGATGTAGGCAGCTACTAAACATAACAATTAATTCATTTGCTCAAATAATTATGTTGTCCATGTGTAGGCCACATAGTGTTTCTGACATGATTGCAAGTAGCAGGAAGCAAATGCTAATGGAGGCATATAATACATAAATAACTTTCAAAAAAAGAAGTAAGGAGTTTTATATGTCAGCTGTGCAATGCAAGTAGTTGAAGGTTATTTTCAAGAATAACTAGGGAAGGCCTGCATAGAGGTGACAGAAATAGTTGTGTTATAGTAACAACCAAACCAGTAAAACCACAGAAAGTAACATTATAGAAGAAAGATATGAAGTGTTTAAGGCTAAGCATAATTTAACATATTAAAAGAACTAATGATGAGAGAATATTTTCTAAGTGATTGCTGTATATAAAATGTCCTTAGAGAAAGAACCCTTCCTTCCATGGGTAGAATTATAGTTTCATATAGTTGTTTTAATTCAGCCACAGAACATATTGAAACCATTTTCAGATTTCTTCTTGAGTCATAAGCAAAGTAATAAAGGCCTCACCCTGCCAAAGTTTGTTAGTCAGAATTTTACTCTGTTGCTCCTGTAATTACTCTTGTAATTCCAGCTCAGATACAGTAGGAGAGCCAGATCTTTTTAATTTCTAATTGGCTGCTATTACAATTATCACACATACAAAAGTGGGTAGATATCAGGTATCATAATTATAACAAATATGATATTTTTGTTTTATTTGGATTCATTCCTACCAGACTGCACATACTGTGCTTGGAATAGGTCTTCAGGTTATGTGAGATGAATATTTCATTCACACATCAGTCATGTTCAGTGCCCACAGGAAACTCTGATGTCATCTGACAGGACCAAGTCCTGCAGTAACCATAGTTGCTGATATTGCCTGATGGAGAAGAGTGCTTCATGACAGTAATTGATATTGTCAGTGAGGAGAACAAAGCCAAGCCATGGCTCCCCGAACGCCCCCACAATACCTGTTCTCCCATTTGCTTTTAATATACTGCTATGAATTTAATCTTTTAGATGTATTTATGATTGGACTCTTCTTTTGCTTAGTTCACTTTTAATATATATTTGAATATTTTTATCATTTAGTGAAAACAAATACTTTCTCACATAACATAAGTTAATCATGGTTTCCCATCTTTCCCTTCCCATTAGGGTTCTACATCTCATCAAATAGTATTTACCCCCAGGTTTCTAAGGGGTAATAATAAAATAAACTAAAATCATATTCATTCACATAAAAACTGTCCTTAAATATTTTCTTTATTGCAATCACAATGAGATAAGAATACAAACACAATCTCGGTTTCACCTGTAATGAAATACAAGAATATTAAGTACTATCTTCAAGGTCATACAATAACTAAGGAGGATCACTTTACCTGAACTTTGTATATGTTTCTGTCAATCACTAAGTTATGCCAAAGTGTACTACCTATTCATCATTTTTAACAAATGAAAATCTCCATCAATCTAAAAATTTGGAAAAACATTTTAAATAATGTGACTGAACCAGAGAGTCATGTGAAAGTTGGTATTTTTTGGTATCACATATTTATCAAAATAAAGTTAGATGATATTACTTGGGCTTAGAAAAGTATCTCTGTCAGAAAATAGTCCAGAAGGATTAACCTGTGTTATGATATCATGATACATCAGACAGTATCCACACTGACCCACTAAGCTGGTGGGAGATTTAAGTTGGTGTGATGAAACATTCTAAAGATCAAAACATTTCTGATACTCCGAATAAGGAACATTTTTTTACTCACAGAATTTCTGCTTCTGTACTCTCCAGGCAAGTCTATAAAAGTTTAATTATAGGGTAAATGGACTCAATATATAAACAGACACTGAGCTGCCAGGAAGGAGGGATTAATTAGCAGCGTGTGGGGGCTGTTTTGTGATAACAAAGATTTGAGGTTGGAAAATGTCAGATTCAAGATCTATCTAGTGTTAAAGCAATAGAATTTAGCAGGCGAAACAAAAGAACTAGTGATAAATTTGGGAAATTTGATAGATATACAAGCTATGGAGGGAGACACTAGATTACTTCATTGATGAATTAGCCATCTTTGCCCAGGATTTACTAGTTACGTTGCTGTTCTTTGACAGGGTGTTCATGAGCTAGGTTGCCCTAGGGGTACTTAGGTTAAACTCATAAATGGATTTAAGGTTAGATATAGAAGCAAGTATGGGATCTTTGATTAGAAATCCAAGAGGAAAAGGTTAAAGTCCCAAGGTCAGTTGTTCACTGATACAGTGAAGAAGCAGAAGGAAATCTGGGCTGTAACCATGTTCTTTATCCACATTTGCTCATGACATCTCAACACATTTCTGTTGAAAGTCGTTGCCACAGTGGTCGCAACAGTTTACATCCCCCAGATACACATTCCTTTCTGGACATTTTTGTATTGGTTTTGTGAACGATTCAGAACAGCCCCTAACTCATTTTTTTTTTTATTTTGGTTTTTACGAGACAGGGTTTCTCTGTATTGTTTTCGAGGCTGTCGGTCCAGCCCAGCCTCGAACTCACAGCGATCCGCCTGCCTCTGCCTCCCGAGTGCTGGGATTAAAGGCGTGCGCCACCACCTCCCGGCCCTAACTCATTTTTAAGAAAAGAGAATATAAAGGCTTCTTTCTCTTTGAGATCCCAGAAATTTGCTATGCTAAAAATGGGGTCTTTGGTTTCTTCAAGAAGTGGACTCCTTTCTCACATAGCTGTGTCAGTCTGCCCTAGTAAAACTTGAAGTGAAAAAATAGTGTTTTTGAAGTTAATGAATGGTAAGCACAGGTTAGCTTGCTCTAGTTCAATTGTTAATACATGTAACATTTGCTCTTTGTTTCTGTCCTTAGCTGAAGATAATAGTAGTTTGTTCTGTTTAAAGGCAGGGTCTTCTGTAAAACAGGATGCTCTCAAGCTTATACTCCTCCTGCCTCAGCCTTCCAAGTCGGTAACACTGTATCCAAACAGCACTAGAGTTATGTTTAAAGAAATTGTGTGCATCAGAATGTACATGCATGCTTGTGTGTACATAAACCTTCCCTTGGAAATGGAAAAGAGTTTCCCTGTAAGTATGTGTGAGAGAGAGAGATTATGAGGATCAGATAGAGCAATAAGACTAAAAAGACTAATATGCCTGTTCACTTTGAGCTGCTATTCCAATGTTTTCTGGACTAGAGAGTTTAGATGTGTCTCCTCAGCACATAAGGAGTCCCAGTTTGCAATGCTTTTTGTTGAGGGGAATGGTGAAGGCACACGTGTTTGCTCAAAGCTTTGATTGGACTTTGATTTGTAGGGCATTGATCCTTTTGTGAGAACTCTTCTTGTGATACGATGAAATTAGTTTCTCAGAACTTGACCTTGTAATGCTATAACCTTGGCAGTTAAGATTTAGGCAAATCTAAGTATCCTGATAAATTATATAACTTCAGTCATTGCTTATATTTGATTCAACTATTTTGTTTAATTATTTCATCTATTGTAGCAAGAATACGTGCTTACACCTGAAGAGGTTATATTCCAATAGGTTTAGAAAAGTTGTTTTTGGTGATATATTATTTGTAATCCAATAAAACTTGCCTGAAGATCATAATGTAAAGCTAGCCACAGCCATAGAGGCCACACAGTGGTAGAATACACCTTTAATCCCAAGAGCAACACTAATTAGCCATAGAGGCTGGGCGGTGATGGTAAACACCTTCAGTCCCAACACTAGACAGGAAAATAAGACAGGAGCAGGATCTCAAAGTGGGCAATTAGTCTCTAGCCACATTGAGGACTGGATCATCCCAGCCTTGGTAGAGGTAAGAGCTCTCTGGTGGCTGGTTGTTTGGCTTTTCTGATCTTCAGCTTGAACCCCAATATCTGTCTCTGGGTTTATATTATTCATGTTGCAGTTGTTTATGAGAATTAAGGGGGCATTTAAAATTTCATTTTAAGCACACACATGTATATGCACAGACAAAAACATACAGAAAAAATCTGTTTTAAAAGAAGGTAGGACACACCCTTAATCCCAGAACTCAGGAGGAAGACAGGCAGATCTCTGTGAGTTCAAGGCCAGCCTGGTCTACTGAGTGGTTTCAGGGCACAGCCTCCAAAGCTACAGGGAAATCCTGCCTCGAAAAGACAAAACAAAACAATCAAACAAAAGAAGGCGGGGCATATTTATCATTAATAGGTGAATAAGAATATCTTGTTTTTGTATTTGCTAAGAAAAGTTTGGTTACACAGTAGTGCGTAAAATATAGATGCTCACAGCCTCTCCCTCTGCTTCTGAACAGAAAGAGCGAGAGCGAGGTTCTAACCTGGCCTTTATGTTTCGACTGCCTTTCGCAGCAGGACGAGTGTTCAGCATCAGCATGTTGGACACACTTCTGTACCAGGTATGTGAACTCTCTTCTTACTTCAAAATGGTTATTTTATATATCACTTAGATTTTAAGTCAAAATAAGTGAGGGTGATATTTTGTACTTTTAACTTAAAGGCTGAGTTGAAACAGCGTTGTGTGTTTCTATGTTATTTAATCACATAAATGCTGATATGAAAGATTTTATTTAAAAATATTTTTTAAGCCAGGCAGTGGTGACGTGTGGCTTTAATTCCAGCACTCTGGACAGAGGCAGGCAGATCTATGTGAGTTCAAGGCCAGCCTGGTATACAAGAGCTAGCTCCAGTATAGCGAGGGCTATACAGAGAAACTCTGTTTCAAAAAACCAAAATATATTATATATTTTGAAAATATGATCTGATGTCAAGTGCTCAAACCTGAAAACATACTTAGAAGTAATATTATACATATCAATCAGTTTGTATTCAGGAATATATATTTATACACATGTACATATAATACACCATAAAATTGAAAGTATAAATTTGAAACCATAAATTTGAAAGTAAGGAGGGGTATATGAGAAGGTTTGAAGGGAGGAAAGTGGAGTATACAATGTAATTATATTATAATCTCAAAAGCAAAAGAAGTCATTTTAAAAAGATTAAGTAAAATGCATATATGTACTTCTCCCCAAGAACTGAGAATGGAAAAAAGCTAACTCCCCAAAATTGTCCTGCTTTCCCAGAACATTGTGCATTTGTGAGTTCTCTATCTTTCTATGTCTATCGCTATCTCTGTCTCTGTCTTTCTGGTTCTGTCTGCCTGAGTCTCTCTCTTTCTCCCTCTCTTGTTCCTCCCTCTCAATAATAACAATAACAATAATAAAAAATAAAATAGTCTATGAAAATTTTTTCTTGGTGATTCTGGGTATCAGTTTCCTGTGAAATTTATTACCGTACTTTCTTATTATCCAAAATATAACTCTGAAACACTTCATTAAAAAAAAGCAAAAGTAGCTTTCCTTATAGTATTTCTTTTTTTTCAGATTTTACACAAAATAGCAAATTGTTAATATTCTAAACTGAAGATATTTAAGCAGTCAATCAATTTTGCTCACTTTGTATATATAGAAGAAACATTTTGCAACCCAGAGCCACTGAGTTTGTCCCTGAATACCAAAGTAGCCATGCTATTTAGGCACTGTATAATAATCCAAAACTCTCCACAAATCCATATATTTCACACAAACATATCATAGTCTGCTTATGTTTATTTATGCCCACAGCTAATAATAGTAAGTTTTTCTGTTCTCTCGTTATTCATATAATCAATAAGCATTTCCACTTTGAAAAAAAATACATTCATAGAGTTTTTATTTCATGCCATCAGTTTGAAACTAAGCACCTTCATGGATTTTTGTTTGCATTGCTTTTGATTATATATTTGCTGCACTCCTCTACAACAGCCTGCCTAACTAACCTACTCCAATGATAGATAAATGGAGATGTTGTGCTGGCCTCTGGGCTACCTGCCCCTGTGTGTGCTTACAAGTGGCGGAGCAGCCTGCTTGTGCTGGAGAGGTGCCCCCAACAAACAAGGAAGCAATGTTAATGATCTATACTAATGTTTCCAGATAATTTATCTGACTAACCCAGGAGGCACAACCAGTAACCCAAGCACTCCAAATATGCATGTGCTTATCTCTTGAAGAGGATTTTACAACGTAGGTTTCTTTTTCTTTCTTTTTTTTTAAGTGTGCTTGAAGAGCAGCAGTTTGATTGATGTAAACTCTCAGCCTCAACTGAGACATACTAATCAATCTTCATGCTGAAAGTGTGTATCAATCATAGAGAAGTGCTCAGCTAATATTCTGAAGCTACAGTCCCTGCTAAGTCCCTTTGCTAGATTGTTACCACCTAGAGACAGCAGACCAGTTTTTAAGCCTCCTTTGGTTTGGCTTTTGTTTGTGTTATCAAGAGACAATGAAGTTAGTTGTTTGTTGAGACTTCTGGCAAAAGTTCAAATAGGATTTGAAAGTTTTGACTTAGGGTTGACATGATGGTAGAGTTAATAAGGTTCTTGTGACTAACACTGAAGACCAGAGTTTGGTCTCAGAGACCTACATTTAGAGGAAAAGAATCTACTTGTCTGTTTTCCTCTGGCTTCCACAGGCATTGTGTGGCACACATTTACCTATATACATATACTGATGGAGAGATAGATAAATACATAAATAAAATAAAATAAAATGAAGTACTCTAAGTTTAGAATTATATCACAGTCAGCATTACTAAATCCAATATGTACTACATCTGTCTGCATGTGTATGTATATAACGGAGAGAAACACCCCACAATATAGCAAAACTTATTGGCTGGGTTAGATTTGTTTGTGTTTTAGTAAGTTTATTCCATTTCATTTAAAATTTTTCTAGCATCAATTTATTTTATGTTACTATTTTTTTTTGTAAAACACTTAACTAAAGGACTCCAGAGTTAGAAAAGTGTAGAAAATAATTTCTATTCTCTTGGACTTTTGATTGGTTGTAATAACTTCTGAACTGTTGGGAATGATTTTCTTCTTCTGTTGATGCTGGAATTGGACCCCAAGTCTTGTGCATGTTAGATAAGGTGCATTGTAGGGATGGCTTTAGATATTTCTATCTTTACACACTTGGCAATAGTATATTTTATTTTCCTATAACTAAGTGATAGACACTGTTATTTTAGGAAAATATAATGATTCTCCTTTTAAAGATATCCTATTTAACATGGAATCATTTGAAAAGAATATACATATAGTAAAGGGAAGTCTAGAAATCAATTTCATCTTACCACTGAGCAACATTGTAAAACATTTATTTTAATAGTTACTAATTTCACCATTATATTTCAGTTTAGATACTTTTGTTTTCTTTTTCAACCATATAAAGTGCTAGCATCTTGTCTAGTAACCAATGTCAGCATACATGTTATCTCTAAATAACAGGTATTTCATGCATTTCTTTAGAATCAGCTTAACTATAAATGACCATTTAAAAATTTGAGATGTATTTTATCTTATTTTATCCAGTTTGCAAAAGGGATAGAAATAACTTCAGAAATATTTATGTGTTCACCCTCCTCACTATTCTTTGTATCTCACATACATAATGTTTACATATTTTGCTTATATTGCAGTCATTTGTGAAAGATTATATGATTTCTATCACCAGACTTCTGTTGGGACTGGACACCATACCAGGATCGGGGTTTCTTTGTTCTGTAAGTTAAGCATGTCTGGAAGAGAAGAGAATTCTGATAGAAGGTTTGGAGATCCACCTGCCATGTGCTTTTGGTGACTTGTCTATAATCACATTTATTTCCTTATGTGTGTCCAAAGTGTTATATCTGAGGTTTTCTAATTCATTAAAAACCCTGAGACCTTAAATGTATTATATGCTGTTTTTGTGGATAAAGCATTTTAATTAATTATCATTCAAAAAGAAAAAAACAACATTCTATATAAAACTGAGTAAAAGTTCTCATTGTTGATGTTGACAATTTGACAGTTTGATGATCATCTGTCCAAGACTTGGTTGCTACATTGTCTATGAGCAGAATGTTTCTGGCATTCAACCACATTCTCTGTCTCTCTCTCTCTCTGTGTCTCTCTCTGTCTCTCTCTCTCTGTCTCTCTCTCTGTCTCTCTCTCTGTCTCTGTCTCTCTGTCTCTCTGTCTCTCTCTCTCTCTCTCTCTCTCTCTCTCTCTCTCTCTCTCTCTCTCTCTCTCTCTCTCTCTGAGGTGGGATCTTATTGTACTGTTCATACTGTCCTATTTTTCCTGGACTCCAGCATCCTCTACTCCAGCCCTTTGTAGTGTCAGGGAGATCAGGCTTTTGGCGTTGAACCCAGTTTAAACCTTCTGTTTTAAAGAAGAGTGTAATGAGTAGAATATAATAGATTGCTGATGGTTCAGATGTCCAAGCAACTTGGGGGATGAGAGCCCTGGTTTCCTTAGCCCAGTTCTCCTTCTACCACAGATTTTCTTGTGTAACCCTGAGGCATGTGGGACAGGACTTTCATTACTAGAGTTCTGCACCTTACATTTTTAACTTTAGAAAACTCTGTTCCTATGTATCAGTGTCAATTCTGTCATTACATCATCTTGAAGGTTTCCACGGCATCTCCCAGGTCACTGCCAGTGTTGTGTTGCCTACTTTTATTGCCCCAGACTGGCTTCTTAACATTTCTTGGCTTTGGATTAACTCCTGGGATAGACTGAGGTGGACTGAAATGAATAAACTTAATGTGTGAACAAGCTTTTATGAAATACTACTTAGAGATTTCAAAATATATATTGTTGCAGCTTTTAATTAGAAAAAAATAACCTCTGTGTTTTTCGTTCTTAAACATTGGTTGTATGATTCATATATATGCATTATAGATGAAAATCACTGAAGAGGACTTGTGGATCAGAACATATGCCAGACTCTACCAGAAGTTGTGTTCTTCTACTGGAGATGTTCCTATTGGGATCTACAGGACAGAATCTCAGAAATTAACTACATCTGAGGTTTGGAAATATGAAAGCCTCTTTGCTGACTTGTTTAGTCTGATGAATATTGTCATTCATAAGAATGGAAACTGAGTTCACACAAATGCAATAAAGTGTGAAAAGGAGTTCTATAAACTCACAGAGTAGATTTTTAGTAGCTGAAATCTCAACAATTTCACAAGGTATTGTCACGTAGATGCTTTCCCAGCATCTGTGGATATTGCACTCCTGTGTCCTTTTCTAGATCCAAGATTAGCCACTTCTAGAACATTTTACAGAACTAAAACAATTACATCACCCTAGGGCTCTGAGATAGAAAAAAGACTCCAAATTCCCTAGGTTGCTAATATATTTTCTGATTACATGCATTAGCATTTGGAAAGAGGCAAAGCAAAAAAGTCATGAAGTGTTAAAATGCATGTTTCTCTCTCTCTCTAATTAATGAAAATTAATATAAAGCCATAAAAATGTCTAGGAACAGAGCCTGACTTTCTAAGAAAAGAGAGTAATTTTTATTAGGAACTAAATCCTGTTAATATGGAAGGAAAATTTTTGATGGTCACCTGCAACTGAGAATCTATCTTCTGTATTTTGATTTTATCACTTTTGTGTTTCCAGGTAATTTTAATAATCTTAGGAAAATTCAACTCATAAAATTAGATTATGTTATGACATAAAGGTTTTTGATAAATATACTGTTCTACATATATAACATTTCTTAATATAAAATTTGATTTATATTCTTCAAGTATTTATTTTCAAACTCCAAAGGTATGATAAATCACAAAGGTATTTTGTCTCATTGAATCTTTTACTCTTATGTAAAATCACCCCATGCGTAGGCCTCAGATTAATATTCACTTTAGCACTCCAAGTAATAATTGAAAAGATATGTGATTAAATAAAGAATCCATGCACCTTACAGAAGAGTTGTATAGTCAGCATACATTGAATAGGACAGAGTTTTCTTTTCTTGTTATGATTGTAAATTTGCATAGATGTGTACTATGACCATCTGAATGTTATTCATGTTTCATGAGATGTTGTTGGTGACTTTATTGTGGTTTCTGAGACATTAAATGCATCTCTGTTACCACTTAGACAGTTGAATTAAGTTTTTCTTTGAACACAGCCTCATAGGTTCACTTCAGAAACAGCACTTTAAAAGAAAAATAATCCAAACAATAGCTGACATTCATGACAGTTAAATACATGAAGGAGATTGGCAAATATGACTGCAGATTTTAGAATAGATATCAATATTGTTTGATTATACAGTAAATAAACAAAACAAATCTCTTTTATAATTAATTTAACATTTCCTTAGTATACTAAGGTTTCCATAGTAACATACCATATATTCAATAGCTTATAAAAATGGAAACTTTAGTAGCTGTAAAGATTGCTCCATAGTAAAGAGTACATGCTGCTCTTCCAGAGGAGGGTCATGAACTCCTGTGTATATACTTGCACATAGACACATATCCATGTACTCAATGAACATAATAAAAAGATCTCCTTTTAAAATGAAATCTTGATTCTGACTTTTGTAAGGATTGGGTAGCCTAGAATCTATACACTGGTAGATTTGTTGTCTGGGGAGAGTCTGCTTTGGGATTGCCAAGCAATCCCAAAGCAGACTCTCAAGTATCTTCTCAAGACAAAAGGAGCAAGGCATTCCAGGATCACTAGACTTTTCATGACCTAATTACTATCCTGCAGTCCTGGCTCCGAATGCCATCCACTGCTGTGTGGCTTGCAATTTCACATATTCTTTAAAAGTGGAACAGGAAGATTCAGTGTAATAGAAATATTTCTCAATTGTTCATGGTAATGTCAACTAGACTTGTATAGAATTTGATGTAGTCTCAACCTTTATGAGAACAGAGAATCTTCAGGAAACTTCCTTAGGATAAGTTATTCAGAAATGCATATACAGGCAATTATCAAGTAAGATAATTTGTAGCTTTAGTAAAATAACATCTTTCTCAACAATAATAAAATATTTTAATAGAAAAAATACTACTCCCTGTATTATATATCTACACAGGTTGTGATTAATTATAATGTTCCTGAATGTTAGTTCAGACTGCTGTTTTATATTTGTTTAATGCCAATGGTTATTTACAATATTCTCATTTTCATTGAGTGGTTCATTTTTTCTACCATTTATTTTAGTGTCTACTATACTTAGTCAATTTTAATGAAACAAAACAATGTGAGGATAAAGAATCTTTGGTAGAAAACCATAGCTTACCTGATTTACAAAAAAGTAAGCACATTATTGCATAACATGGATTTATGTCATATTTTGTTCTTGTTGATGTTCCATGTATGTACTGTTCAGTCATTGTCTAAACTGCATTTTGTGTATTTCTTTTTCCTTCCTTTGAGTCAGTCTCGAGAAATAGCATCCCAAGTAAGTATCTTCTGTTTGTCATGTTCCTCAGTGTATAATACATCAGACATATTAAAGAAATTGACTGTGAAAAACTAAGTTAAATTGTATTTAAAAAGTGTATCTTACTGAAAAGCTCGTACATACTTTTCAAGTTAGTATATTTTTATTTTCCCACAGAAAATTGTAAAATAATATTGCATTTGTTCTTGGACTGCATTTATTAGTTCACTTTGGACCCTCTTTCATAGTCTCAATATATCAGTTGCATGATGCTATAGCAAACACTGAGAAACTAATGAGCATAGCTACCAACAGTCACAAACCTCTTTTTTCTGTAGTTTCTTAAATTCATAGTCTGTACTAACAGGACTGTGATGTCTAAGTAAGCAGGCATCTATTCAAAAATTTAGGGCTGAAAGGCTGAACTTGAGTTACAAGCTGATGCTTTGGAAAGACATTAGGAATGAAAAAAAATATTAGTCAACTAATTACTCTTTCTAAGATTTGTCATGAGAAGAATTAAATTCTAAATTGTATTCATAGTTTATAATTTTGTATATATAGAAGTTTACAATGAAAGATGTCTCAAAATTTCATTTTTAAGCATCCTTAAAAGTAGTTTTGTTTTTATTTTTCAAAGACTAAAGATTAAGCAGCTCTTCAGCTAGTGTTTATAGAATTCTTATCTTCAGGGTATCTGTGGTTGGAGACCTAGAAGCCAGAGTTTAGAAAGATAGATTTCAGGATCTGCTTTCCTTGGTGAGATGTATAATACTGAACAAATAATGTTCCTCCTACATCTCTTTCAGGCCATTTCAAATACATCATTAATATTATTATTAATTCAAATACAAAATTAATATTAACTGCATTCACAATGCCTTATATAGCATATCTAGAGTTTATTCATTTGACAGGTATATGTTTGTGCTCTTTACAAATACTTTTCAATCTTAGTTTCCATGTAATAAAAGCTATTATTTAGAAAACTTAATTCTTGGAATCACCAGTGATTCACTGTGTGACTAGAGGCTAGTCTGTCATTTCATTCAGGGAGGTCCTAGGCCCTACCTCAAGAGTCCAGGCTGAGAGAGCATTCCTCATTATGGGATGGGCACCCAAAGTCCATTTGCATGCCAGGAATAAATACTGATCTGCTACCCAAGGCCCCATAGATTGCCTAGGCCTTCTCACTGACACCCATATTCAGGGGGTCTGGATCAGTCCCATGCTGGACTCCCAGACATCAGTCTGGGGTCCAAGTTCTTCTCCTTGTTCAGGTCAGCTGTCTCTGTGGTTTAAACAAACCCAGTCTTGACCCCATTGCTCATCAGTCCTCCCTCTCTGTCACTGGGTTCCAGGAGTTTAGCTCAGTGTTTAGCTGGGTGTGTCTGCCTCTGCTTCCTTTCTTTAATTCTACTTTGCCTCTGTACCCTCATAAAAGTCAACTTTATTCACAACATGAATGTTGGCATTGGAAAAGGAAACTTATAAAATGTTTTCAAAACTTTTACCATCCATTCATTTACATCCATTCTTTTACATGAGAAACATCTCAGCATTGGTTTCCATAAAAATCTGTTCTTTTTATTGCCGTATTCCTAATTTCTTGCTTCATTTCTTTCTACTTACTGCTCCTGAAGATAATAGTGGTTTTTATTTTTACTTTTTAAAAGAGAGGCAGAGAAATACAGAACATAAAAGTAGATATGTAGGCAAAAAGGGAAGATACAGGAGAAGTTGGGGGAGAAATAACACATGATGAAAATGTATGTAAAAACATAACAAACAGGTGCTTAGTTGTAAGTAATCAATGTCTTATAGAAATCAATATGAATGTGTTTTGCAAAAGGATTCCCAATATTCTTCTTGAGTCCAGTCCTGAGTTTCCTTTGGAACATGGAATGATCTTATCTACATTACCTGCTCCTCCACTAGCTGCCCCATTCACAGTTTTATTTGTGTTGCCCATGTCATTGACTTAGTTACGCATCCTTAGAGCTTATCCTTACTGCTTACATAAATGTCTGTTTGTTCACAGTTTGCAAGCTTCTAAGACAATGGGAGATTACAACAGCGTGGTTTATTTAATTTTTTTCTAATGGTTGACCATAATGTTTGAATGGGGAACAATACAAGGGAGAAAAAGGATCATCCTCAAAGGTGATGCCCCCATCCAGGTTTTGTCAGACTGAGGATACTGCCTTTGTTCTAGGAATGTAGTGACACTTTGAGGAGAGGGGATAAAGCAGGTAGGAATCCAAACATGCCCAAAAGTGGTTTGAGAGAGCTTGGAAAGCTCAAATGGCCTGGGCCTTATTGTAATTAACGGCTAGTCCTAGGGTAAGGTTTCTTATGCTGTGAGTGTGAATGTCACACTATTTTTAAAAGAAGACACATTGGCCAATCATACCCTTGCCTTGGAGTGAGGTAGAGGTTTCAGCAGTCAGATATCAAATGTGGAGTCAAATTGTTACTATTCAATCTACATCTTTAGTGACTAAGTGTGCCTTGCTTGATTTAGAATTTAACTTTATATAGTACAGCATGATAGTTTGTATCCTGTAGTAAGTACAAAGATGGTAATTCTTTTGAATGCTTTACCTTGTATACAATTCTTGAGTATTATGGAAATCTGAACTGTGTCTTGGTTACTTTTAACCATATCTGAACTTTGATGAGGAATGGTGCAACAATGAGTCTTGTATTGTTTCTTTACTATAGGAAGACCTTAATTTTTATTTTCAGTGTTTAGGCAGCAAGAAAGTAGCAGTTTTGTTGTTTTACCATATGAAGAGGAAATTGCTGGCTGCCCACAGACAGTAACGTACAAGTCTCTAAAATGTGTAAATGAGCCTTAGTACCCAAGACATCTGGTGTTAAGATGATCCTCTGTATTTTGCCAAACTCATATTGATTTTTTAGTGTAATCTGTTACTGCAGCATAGTGGTAAGGAATGAAAAATAACGGTTATGCATGTTTCATCTCGTTGAATGATGTTGCTGCTATGCATATGGTTATTTTTTGCTCCCAAAAGGCTTTTTAGCAAGGCACTGAGGATGGAAACATCCTCCCCTGCAGGAAGCTGATTCCAAGAGCCCAAGTCTGGCTTTCTTCTGTATCTGCTATATTCATTTTAAAGTAAAGCCCCACATTTATTTAAGTCCCTAAAAGTATCTAAATTACTAAACCTCATGAGATGGTAAAGCCAAATTGTATTTTGTGCTCTACAGTCACAGTACTATCCAACTCCAATATTTGTGTGTGTGTGTGTCTGTGTGTCTGTGTGTGTGTGTGTGTGTTTGTATAGACATACTGATGTAGATGTCAGAGGTTGTGTCTTCATGTCTTCCTCAGTTGCATCTTCTCCTTACATTTCTTTTTTGTGACAAAGTCTTTCATTGAACCTTAAACTCAGTATTTAAGCTAGATTGGCTTGCCAGAGAGATCTTGGAATCCACTTGTCTTTGTACTTTGGGTTATAAGCACACATGTTTCCCCTCCCCTGGCTTTTAATTAGGATAATATGATAAACTCATGTCCTCATTCAATAATACAACTACTTTTTGTCAGAAAGGAATATTTAAATAATCAAAGAGGTTATATTTCATAACAAAAAAGAAGCTGTTGTTGAGTCTATGGAATTTAAAGCAAGGCCAGTGTGATCCCAGGACGCTTGCTTTTAACCTTCTATTATTCTAACCCTCGAATCAGAAGTTCAGGAAAAACCTCTAAAGTGAAGCTACCATTTCATTTGCTGTGCTGAACTGTATCTTCCCTGTTGATGCTAAGTCCAAAGCAGAATAGAGTGATAAACATCAAACAAAGAGACAGTAGGAAATTAACTCACAGATAACTTTTTACACATACTCATGATAGACATGCAGTTTAATAACAGGTGCCTATCAGCAGTGCTATTCACACTGTGGGTAAACTTTCAAAAGAAAGGTTTTGAAAATCCAAATTTGTACTAAGAAATCTCTAAATTTCAACCTGGTTTTCTGAAACAAAAATCCCCAAGTTAGTCTCATTCCTTCTTCCAGAATGTGTAACATTTATATAGAGATGTTTGTTCATTGTATAGATTTATAAGAAAAATGCCTTGCAATTGTAAATGATTGTATATGTGAAATCATGAAATCCCCTTCATATGGAATTTCAGAACAATGCTAAATGTGACCATTTTAATAATACTTCAGTAACACACACATATACTTTAATCCATATTTTAGATGTATATATTTCACAGTACCTCAGACATGGGACTAAGAAGAAATATTCACAAAGATAAATAGTGTTTTAGATCTGCTTGAAATAGCATCAAATCATCCCCTGTCCCTTAAATATTTATCAGCATGTGGATCCAAGACCTAAACTGTAAGTGATCTTATATGAGCAAAGCACCTTGACTGTTTTCTCTGAAAATTTTACACAGAAGAAATTCAAGCAATTGCTCATATAGGACACACTACAAATATTACTGAATAACTGTAGATTGTCCTTACTAATGATAGATATTTCCCAATAGCTTGTGAGCTATTTCCACAGAAGGGGATTTTAGTGGTAATATTAACTTGTTGGAAAAAATATAAGCTAAGATTTATAAAGGTATCCATGACTTAAAATCTTTAATGCTTCTAGCTTAAGTTCTGAGAGATAAATTCCAGTTTCTACATTTGTTTGATGAACTTTTCACCAGAAGATATGATGTTTAAATGTACTATTTTATGTTATCCCAGTATAGTGCTGTTTTAGATTAGAAATCTGAATTAATTGTTGGTATTTTAGCTGAGCTGAGGTGTCTGACCATTTCCTAACACATTGCTACAGTTGTGGGTAAAGCACGCACTGAGCTCATAACTTAATATCCTATTTTAGAGGATGTATTGGATCTTCATCCTAACTTAAATTGGTAACTTGAATGCAGTAACTTTGGAAGACAGCTGTGTGTGCTTGTAGAAGCTAAAGTGCCAGCAAGCTTTCAGACCTGGAGGGAAACTCCATGGCAGATTCATGGGTTCAGCAATCCAATAGGGTTAAGGAAGCTGTTAACTAGAGTGTGCATGTCCCCATAAAGTAAAGGTCTCCTTAGCTAGGCTTGCATTTCATGTGACCACCTTGTGCGGAAAGTAATAATACTAAAACAAAGATAACCTATTACTGTAGAGATGAGAATTCACGGGGAAAACAAAAAACAACTTAGGACAGATGTGCTGAGTACCCTCAGCATTCTTCCTTGTAAGGGACCTGCGTTTTGTTTTAGTTATTAGCCTTCAAGGCATTCACGGAAAATTGACTTAATGCAGATGTCATGAAACAAAGTTTAATTATAAACATATTTTATGTTGTGAATTAAAACTTCCTTTTGCTATTTCATTGAAATATGAGAATTAGGAGAATTTCCTATTTTATAGAGGTTGTTTCACAATCACATGTAGAAAAGGCATTAATTTAAAAATCTTCAAATTAGGTTACTCCCAAACAGATTTGGTATCACTTGTTTTACATTTGAAACACTTGTAGCAGATTTAACCTGTCTATTGCCCATACTGTACTTAAATGAAGTTGTGAAATATATGAGTGTTTGTTCCAAATATATGTATGCTGGGAATCAGTTACAAAGGGAAAAAAAGTCACACATAACCACAAATGACATTGTCTTTTCCTAAAAGACGAATACTAGGAAAATACAGATGTTTTAATGGATTCACAATAAACACCAGAACCATTTCTGCAAATTGATTAGTAAAACATGCTTAGAATGGAATGTCTTGATTTTCTTGTTCCTGTGGAAACACATGTAGATATACAATTACACCAAGATAGTGCAAAATAATTATTTCAGTTCTAGGCAATGGCTTTTCCTCAGTATCTAATGACCAATATCCATTTCCTTTAAAGTCTCAAATATCCATCAGTGTGGAAGAGTGGGAAGACACCAAAGATGCCAAAGAACCAGGACACCACCGCAGCATTCACCGCAACTCCACCTCTAGCGACCAGTCGGACCACCCCTTGCTTCGGAGGAAGAGCATGCAGTGGGCACGAAGGCTGAGCAGAAAAGGCCCAAAGCACTCTGGAAAGACTGCAGAAAAAATAACCCAGCAGCGGCTGAACCTCTACAGGAGGTCTGAAAGACAGGAGCTTGCCGAACTTGTGAAAAATAGGATGAAACACCTGGGCCTTTCCACGGTGGGCTACGGTATGCTCATTAAAACGCATGTACACTGTCAGTTTTTTGCTGTTACTAGTTAGGGCTCAGTCCTTGAAAGCTTTATTTCTGAAGCAGAAAAAGTGTTTTAATTGACATTATGTAAGTTTTCTAAATAATCCCTAGTTGCTATGTTAATCAATGATTCCATACACAAAAAGCTTAATGAAGCAGCACACACCTTAGAAATGCCATATTATTATTTTATATAATATTTTATTAACTTTTTACATATGTCGCTCCCAGTTCCCTCTCCCTCCCCTGCTCCCCATCCCCCCAATCCCCACTCCATCTTGCCTCTGCTCCTCAGCTCCTCAGGGAGAGTAAGGGCTTCCATGAGGGATTTTCAGAGTCTGTCATATCATCCTGGGAAGGGCCTAGATCCTCCCCCATGTGTCCAGGCTGAGAGAGCATCCCTCCATGTAGAATGGGCTCCCAGAGTCCATTTGTATGCCAGGAATAAATACTGATCTACTCTCCAAGGTCCCATAGATTGCCAAGGCCTCTTCTCTCTTACACTCAGGTTTCGGGGGAGGAGGTCTGAATCAGTCCCATGCTGGTCTCTCAGTCACCAGTCTGAGGTCCATGTGTCCCCCTTGTTTAGGTCAGCTGCCTCTGTGGGTTTCACCAGCCTGATCTTGATTCCTTTGCACATCACTCCTCTTTGCAACTGGGTTCTAGGAGTTCAATTTTGTTTTTAGCTGTGGGTGTCTGCCTCTGCTTCCATCAGCCACTGGATGAGGGTTCTAGGATGGCATATAAGGTAGTCATCAATCTCATTATTATTATCCAAGGTTTATTTTAGAATGTGGTTAGCAACATAATAACAAAGCCAGCAGGCATGCTATGGAGGTCGAGGAAACCCCACACAATTCCACTTTTACGGAGAACTACTGGAGGCCAGTGACTGCTAAGATAAACAGAATCATTTGCCTTTAGGATAAATTCCCACATTGCTTGTTCAATATCAAGTGCATTCATGGATACATGCCCATATGAGCAAAACTAAATGTACTCAGTATGATGTACATGTGTATCTATATGTATATAGTGTGTATGTGTACATATCAAAAAAGGTTTTTTTAAATCACACATTTTGAAGAGGAATTTGGGAGACGAGGGCACAGGAATGATGTAGACTCGATGATCATTTATGAAATTCTCAAAAAAATATAAAACTAATTAAAAATAGTCAACTCGCCAATGATAAATGAGGTGTTTTTTGTGTTTATGTATACTTACATGTATACCTGAGTGCATACACACATGAACTATACATATATATGTATATATATATATCCCCATTTTCTTTTACCATATCATTTTATATTGAGATAATATTCATAATACATTTTAATTCCTGAGTTATACTTTAAAAGAAGCTCTCTTTTTTGGGAATGAAAAGTAAAATGTATTTGCTGAGTAGTTTCTGTGCATTTTCTGATAATTACTGCAAAATTATCATGTTATTATCTTATTTAAATTTTATGATTTTCCTCTTAGAGGTAGATTATCCTAATCAAAGTCTTGCATTTGAATTTGCTCCAGAGAGTTCCTTATGTAATTGACATTTGTAACTGTATTTCTCTTAATTGTGGTAAAGACTAATCTGTGTCCTCTAATTTTAATAGAAATGCACTTAATATGTTATATTAGCAAGTAAAAAGCTCAGAATGGTCTTCCAGAAATTTGCTAATGGGTGATTGCCAGTTCAATGACATCTGAAATGATTCAATTTCTAATAGATTGATTTTCTATTTTTACCTTTCATATACTGCTAGGTTACTTTGTCTTCTAGTGAGATCTAGCAAATGATTCTTCATCTGAATCTCAGCTGTGTCAAGAGTGTTATAATCCCCTGTTTATCCTTAAGCAAGACTGCGGATCACATTCTTGATTGTCAGAAATATGAAAATGTATGAGCTGTCTACATTGGGCATCACCTAAGAAAGTATCAGGGATTTCTAAGAAAATATTTCTCAGGACTTACTCATAATCTATGTTTATGGAAATTAGTTGATCTTATGCATATGATAATTCTTATATAACAGAATGCATTTTATCCATTTCATTTTCTCCTTCTCCCTCCTCTCCCATGTTATGTCTTCCCTGATGTAAAAATACGAATGCTGCAAGTCTAGTAGTCTGTCATTGGTGTCACTGAGAGATTTGTGTCCAGAGAATAGTTTGTAAGCCAGATTTGAGTAGCATGAACTGTGGAGGCAGCTGTTTAGGTATAGTAGATGTAAATATATTACAAGTGGCTTTAAGTAAAATATAAGCATGTCATAAATAGAACATAAAATTTCTATTTCCTATGTAAGTAAGCACATTTAAGATATTAGATTACAGAACCATCTTGGAAGGTCTACTTCCTCTACACGTGTGTTCTATTGGCACTAGCTTCACCTAACCATTTGCTGCCCCCTAACTTCATTGGACTGTGAGTCACCCTGATGTCCTGCTCATCCTCAAGGTCAGATGTTACATCCACATGAACTGGCATTCAGATTCATAAGTATCAGAGTTCTTAAAGAATCACTACCAGCTCCGCCAATCAGAGATCACACCTCAGTTGCCACAGTAACTCAACACATTGCTACCTTAATCCTTGTCTGGAGTGCCTACCCACTCCTTATGTCAGACACCACAACCATGCAGGCCTTCAATGCCCAATTCACCATTTTCTCAAGACCAGCTCCTGAGCACCTGTCTGCCCTTCAGGTCAGAGGTCAATTCTACTAACCATGAAGTATACACTGTCTCTACTAATTTGTACAGATCACTCACTGCTAAGACTAGAGGCTCTAAGTTTTCTTAGATAAACTGTAATTATGTCAGTTACCACACTAATGAATCAACACTGAGTGGTCACAGGACTGTGCTGCAAGCATCTCCTAACTGACTCTAACCCAGCCAAGGAAGGGTAAGAGCAAACATGGATACAAATGCTCATTCAATATGAAGGGGAAATATGTGTCAGTGCAGAAACTCATATCAAAAGACAACCAATGACCTAATGTCATGTGTACAGGTCACAACAGAAACAAGACAATATGTACTTCCCCTGAGAAAAATAAACCTACTAATCTCATTTTAATTGTCTCTGGTGCAAACAACTAAGTGACCAATGGAAGTTTCCATAGAAAAGACCACATATTGAGACACAAAGTAAAACTCAACAAATATAAGAAATTTGAAGTAACTCCTACAACAAATATAAGAAATTTGAAGTATTGATGCTTATAATTATGGCAGAAAATAGACAACAGAGAATACATGATCTCACAGAGATTTAACAATGCATCACAGATAAAATTAAGACAAAGACTTAAAAATTTGTAGAATGAAATGAAAATACAACATAACAAAGTTTATTAAGACACAATGAATACAGTCTTATGGGGAAGTTTATAACTCTAAATACCTCCTTCAAGAAATTAGAGTGAACACAAATTAGTTAGTTGTTGGTGGGTGTACCTTAAGATTTTTGAAAAATAAAAATGCCAACCCCCAAAGCAGAAGATGGAAATAATTAAAACAATGCAAGGAATGAGTGAAATGGAAAGTTTAAACAATGAAAAGAATCGCTGCACTCTCTAACTCCTCCTAGAATCCCTATCTCATATCTCCCTCCCAACATAATATTGTTTTATTGTTGATTGATTGGTTGGTTGGTTGGTTGGTTGGTTTAAATCACTAAGTCCAGTTAGTGCTGCCCATATGTAAATAGATATGTGATCATTCAATGGGAAACAGAAAACCTATTAGTGTCTACACTCCTAAAGAAATGGTTTCCTCCCATGGCAGCCATTAGCTTCCTAGCTCCTCAGCTAGGGTAGGGCTTTGGTAGGTCCTCTCCATTTCATGCTGTAATGTTTAACTGGCTCCATCTTGTATAGATCTTATGCAGATAGCCACAGGAATTATGAGTTCATGTATGCAACAGCACTCCTCCCCCTCATCTTACACTCATTCTGTCCAACTTTCAGAAATTCTTTTGGAGTTTGATGGGTATAGACTTGATTTAGAAGTCCCATTTATGGCTGAGCACTCATCTTTGTTTATTCTTATCATTTTGAACAATAGTGAATCTCTGAATTACCCATTTCCCACGATGATAAGGTGTTTCTGATTATAATTGGAACAGTATAAACCCATGAATATAAACATAAATATTTATAAGGCAGATTAACATCATGACCATTTAGAAAAACATATTAGTAGGTCCCAAATAGGACCTACCAATAGGTTTATTACCTCCCTAGTCATGGGTTTTGAGCTTTTTTATAGTACTAGGCATGAATCCCTCCTACTGATGTTACAAATCCAATCAAGAGAGGAATTAGTTACTCTTCTAAGCAGTCTTGCTATTATTGAACAAGTAGGAACATTACCATTACTAGGTCAGTTTCATAACATGCAGAGTCCAATTCAATGATGTACAACATCCCCCAGCAATCTGCAGAGCACCCGCTAGCACCGTGACATGGGCCAGAAAAGGGAATGATCTGGTTGGCCCAAGATGAATTTCTCTGTGTCCTGAAGTTAAAGTGTGGTGTCCTCAGCAATAGGGACCTATCATCTAAGTATGATGGACAACCAAGAGCAATTGTAGTTGCCTGTATTGTCTTGGATAACTCTAGGGCTTCTTTGACTAATAACACAGGGAATTAATACTTGCCTGTCTCTGAGACTTTCATTTAATAACTCATGTCTTCTGGAAACAGTGTTGTTCACTAATACAGAGTTACAAAAAACAAAAATTGGAGGACTGGAAAGATGGCTCAGTAATTAAGAGTATTGACTGCTCTTTCAGAGGACCCATGTTCAATTTATAACACTCACATGGCAGCTTACAACTGCCTGTAACTCTAGTTGCAGGTATTCAATGCCCTCACACAGACATACATGAGGTCAAAATAACAAAGCACAGAAACAATTAATAAATAAATGAATCATTTTTTTAAAATGCATTTTCCAGTTGGCAGTGGTATGTGCCTTTGATCCAAGCACTCCAAAGACAGAGGTGATGGAATATGTGTGAGTTCCAAGACAGCCAAAGCTACACAGAGAAACTTTGCCTCAAAAAATTAAAATTTGTAACTGGTGTATGAAATAGTGTTATTCCATTAGACTTCTTCATAGACGCTTAAAATGTATTAACTCACTTTCTACCCTTAATTCCCAATTTCTTGATTGCTAGCTAGGAATATTGAAAATGCTTTAAAAATATTACTGGTCAGTTGTAATTTTTTGTGATGTTTTGCATCTGATACATCTATAACACTACTCTTGAAAGTTACTGTGAAATTTTGTCCACGAGAAAGGTCAGTTATAAGTTTCCCAAATATGTTTGCTTAAATGACACCAGTAGATACACTAATAAAGAAGCTGAATCCTATACAAAGAACTACAAGCAACTAAGGAATGATTAGAGCAGGAAAAACAGTCTTCCACAGAGAAGATTACTCCATTGGTTATCCAATACCAAATGGTCGGGTCTGAAATTATATATATATATATATATATATATATATATGTTACATAAGACATACTGACAGGTTATATTTATGTATTGAAGAACACACGCATACCCGATACAGAATAGCAAACAAAATGAGTCAATGGATTTGGAAGATAGAAAGGGTATGTTGTATTTAAGAGCGTTTGGAGGGAGTAAAGGAAGGGGAAATGGCATAATTATAATCTTAAAAATTAAAAAAAGAAATTTAAAAATACTTAATCATTAACATTTTTTGAAAACTGTCTTTTCAACTCATTAAATATGTTAGTAGATGCTTTGGGGGTCTGTCATTTTATTTTGCAGTTCTTTGTGAGTTTTTGTTAATAGCCCCTTGTCTGAGGTATACGGCAAAAATTTTCTTTCATCTGCAAGCTGTGTCTTAGTCCTGCTCTTAGTTCCCTTGGCTGTGCCAAGGAATTCATGCAGTCTGTTCACTGATTTCCTCTCCTACTGAAGCTGTCAGGAAGTTCTTTTCCACGTTTGAATCCCAAAGTGGATCCTCTATGCTTTCCTCCAGAGTTTTCAACATTTCATATTTTAAAATAAAGTATTTGGTTCATTTCAAATCGAGCTTTATATAGGATGGAAGGCGTGAATCTAATGCCATTGTTCCGAGGGTACATCTCTTGCTTTGTCAGCACCATTTGTTCAATGGCCTGTCTTTGTCCACTGCGTGTGAAACAATTTCAACAGCAGTAATTTATATATCGCATTTTTCAGTTTTGTAAGGTCAGAGTTTAGCTGTCTGCACACAGTAAAGCAAATCCATTTTCCAGTAAGTATTGTATTCTGTTATTGGCACAACCATATATATGCATGTCTACCCCCAATGATTAACGATAATTATGGAAGCTTTTAATAATCCATCAAACCTACTATATTGACCCTTATAGAATTGAGAAATAAGCAAAACAGAACTGAAGAGAATGGCTAATTGAGATTAAGACAGTCGTGTGTGACCAATAAAATGATTGGTGAATGTCACTTTGAAGTGTCTCCACAATAAACTTCAAAAGTGCTTATTAATTCTCAAATGCAAAATGACAAACAGAAAAAGGTAACTAACTGCAGGCCTTCAGACAAAATGTTGCAGACAAACTGGGGTCAGACTGAGCTCTGTTGCAAAGCAGACTTGAAAGCATGGTTTTGAACTCAAAAACTACTTTTAACATAATCAAAAGGATGGCATTCCTCTCCTATGAGGACTAGTCATTAAGGAGTGATAAAGAAATTGGAATTGCTGATTCTGACTGTGACCTTACCCTTGATTTAAAAGTTGTGAAATCACTGAGTATATTATCAACATGTTCAATATTCTTAGAGCCAGTTGGACAGTAAACATGCTCAATTTGATGTGTTAAAATAGGCTAATTGAGAAAAAAAAACAAAATATTGAGAAAATAATTGCATCCACTCTAAGAAAAACTCATAATTTTCAGGACAGCTTTGTGATAAAAAAAAATGAGGTCACCACTGTCTCTTGACTTGTATCCAAAAGCAAAAGGACAGCTCTCTGTTAAAGACAGAGTGGGACTGGTTATCTACACTGAGCAAGAGGTGTTCTGGCAAAATGGTCTTCTTTGTATCACAGTTCGAGAATACTGTTGTTTATTTTAGAAACTGAGTTGCTCACATCCAAATGAAATGGAGATTTTTCTAGTATAACTTCTGCCTTTCAGAGTGTTCTGATTTAGGATCCAGAGCGCAACATAATTTGAGTTCCTTCTTTGAAAAGAAGTTGCTATAATTCATACAAAAATAATTTTTTCAGAGAAGAACATATGAATCAAATTTACTTTTCATAGAGATATATGTTCTTGATAAAATCATGTCAGTGTAATGTTATTTATGTTTGATTTATAACTATTTTCAGAATAAATATCATTTGCATAACAAATTTTGATTTCAAACTCCAGCCTATTGATTTAACCACCCATCCTTAGGTATGATTCTCAGACTTAGCAAATAAATACACTGGATTCCCAGCTGCATTTGACTTTCAAATAATTTTTCAGTGTTTCGCATGCAACCTTTAGGCCTTATTTTTGTTAAGCAGTTTGGTTGTTAAATATTAACTGGGGTTTACACATCCTTGGGCATTCTTTGTTTTTTCTGGCAACCCTGACCCTAAAAGGGGAGGATACAGATGTTTTTCTGTATCTCCTCCATCGGTTAGTCACCAAATTTGACTTTATTTGAATATAAATTTAATCAGTTTGGAATTAAAACGTTTTTAATGATAAACTTTTGGTAGACTGTCTTATCTGTAATTTATCTGTCCTGTGAGATACTAACTTTGATTTATAGGCTTTAAAGTAGATTTACATATCAATTGAACAAAAGCAGAATTTATTATGACAATAGAAGGGAATTATTTCTACTGAAATGAATGTAATGAATAAAATTATTTTGTGAGAATAGCATTTCAGTACAGTAAATTGTTTATTAGGTTCAGCTATGTTAACCGAACATGAACTTTAACGAAATATTTAAATATTTGGTAAGGTATAATTAGACTTTTCTTCAAACTTAATAATACAGTATTGCCTTCAACAACTATGCTTATTTACAAGTGCAGTGGCTAAAAGAATACTAATACTTGTGACTGTTTGTTTTGGTTTTAAGTATAATGACAAACTTTATTCTTGAAAAAAAAGGTAGTCATTGAAGTATGTGTTCATGTTACTTTATCTTTGCATCTTATAATACACTTAGAATGTAAAACATCAAGATCTACAAAGTTTTTCACAGTTTTAAAATGATTACTTTAAATGTTGGTTTGTATTTGGTGAGCTTCTTATTGCTATATCTGGTACTTGAAGTTGGCTACTATTAAAGAAATAATAAGTATTATTATAGGGGGTAAAAATTCTAATACAGGTTCAGTTTCAGTGTTTTGTGGTAGCCCCTTGTCTATATCACATCAGAGCAGGTGTGTAGGTAAAAGAGAAACTTACAGAGTACATATAAAGTCAACTTGTGTGGGTCAGTGCATGAAGACTTACTCTTTTAAAATAACTTGATCTTTTAAGAACTAGCACAGGACATAGGCCAGTGCTTTGTGGATATTAACTTCAGTGTCCTCATGGTATCAGTACTTCCCAACATGACTGATAAGAGGAAAAATATTTGTAAGTGTAATCTCCTTAAAATGTATGGCTAAATACTTTTACAAAGGATTCATTGTATTCTTAAAAAAAGAAACAAATTGTGCCATGAAGACATGCATATTAAAGCTGTGTATATTTTAATGTAATTCTCTAGTACCTTCCAAGTATATATGACTAGTTTATTTTTCAGCAGTTTCCTATATAAATGTTTTCTGGGCTGATGATGTTTACTTCTAATTACTTTTTATTATTGTAAAGGGAATATCTCATAATAATTTCATTAATAGAAATACTTTTTAATTGTAATGACTTTTAGGAGAAAATGTAACTATAGCTACATGGAACAGAATTAGGTACTTTATTTTTGTCATCTACTGGAACAAAAAGTAGGTACTGCGTAGATGTTTCAGATAACAGGAATGTGAGGACCAAACTTCCATCCATTAAAAACTGAAACAGAACAAAAAGCAACTACAGCAAGTACTTACTGACAACTCCAGGATTTAAACAAAAGGACAGCGATTTTCTGTGGTTTTGTGTGCATCATAACAGACTTAATATTTATTTATCTTGCAGATGAAATGAATGATCATCAAAGCACCCTGTCCTACATCCTGATTAATCCATCTCCAGACACCAGGCTTGAGCTCAATGATGTTGTGTAAGTTGAGCACACGTAGCAGACTAGGGTTATCTAAATTACACATCTACCTTCTATTTTATTTGCCATTATAGTCCCTGATTTCTTCTTGTGATGAACATGCTTCAGAAAAGCTACTTTGGGCAAGCATATGCATCCCTGTGTTCTCTGTATGGTACTATAAAGTGTATAGTGGTTGAATAGAAGGATCATTAAGTGAGGAAATAGTAGCAAACATTCCATATTCTCTAGGCAGATATGTACTTGCACAATGAGAGATAATATGTATATCAGAGAACAGCTCAAAGAAAAATTGAAGCATCCAACAGTACATAGCTCTAAAGATCTGTAGCTATGTTTGATCTCTCTGATATTATGTATAACAGCCATTCCAAAAGAAGAGAGACAATAATCACTTTTTAAATTTGTATTCATCTAATTATAGAATGCTGTTTGTTTGTTTTCCTATCGGGAATTTGTCTGAGAACTCTTGTTTCAGGTCATTTGTAGACTTTTATTTATTTATTTATTTTTTTTAATTTTTATTTTTATTTTCCAGTTTAAATTTAGATAAGAGACAAGATTGCTTCATAAGTCAGTTCCAGGTCCCTCTCCCTTTCCCTCCCCTCCTCCCGTGCCCTCCTCCCAACCCCCCCCCCGTTATCCCCTCATTCCCCCAGGGAGGGTGAGGCCCTCCATGGGGGTGTCCATAGTCTGTCATTTCATATAGAGCAGGGCCTAGACCCTTCCCCAAGAGTTCAGGGTGAGAGTGAACCTCACATTGTTCTATGGGAGTCCAAAGTCTGTGTGTATACTTGGGATGGCCAGCAGATCAGTACCCATTTGTAGACTTTTAAATGTATTAATAATTTTGAGATTTTGCTGTTGTTAAGTTGGTTGAACTCTCCCTGTATTCTAGATATTATATCACTTATTGAATGAATACTTCAAAAACCATCTCCTAATCTGTAGTTTATACTCTGTTGATCATTCATTGGCTGGCCAAGCTTTTTGCCTTGGCACAATACCATTTGCCAGTTTTTCTTTTTCTTCCTGTGCTTTTTGGATTCTGTTATCATGTAAGAATCAATTTAAATAGTCTGTAAACCTTTATAAGACACATTTAAATAATTTTACTGGGATAAAATAAACATACACTCATACTTTGAAATATAGAAAGTAATGTCTTTAAGTATTTCCCCTGGCTATGAAGAAATTGCCACAAATCAATCTGGGACTATTTCATCCCTCATTAAAGAAGTCCTGCAGCATAGATTGGTTAAGGTCTCCATGTCTGTCATCTATCCATCTACTCTTCCGTACTTACCCAGTAGTGTATAATCTATCTTCACAGACTTTCTTTTACTAGTAAGTTTTCAAGTAAATAGTATCACATAATATTTACTCATTTGTTATTTTATTTCTTCATTGAAAACACATAGAAAAGTATCACTCATGTGTCAGTACCACAGTATATATGTGTATGTTAATGCATACAGTAAACCAGGCATGCTTACAAGGACTTTCCTGCTCTTTGAACACTCTTATTTTTATTAAATTCAAGAAAACACAGCCATGTAAGTGCTATGAAAATAAGGTCCTCACATTGTAGTGACTGTATTTGTGACCTTGAGAGAAGGCTAAGCAGAACACAGGCTATGGCACATTATCGTTTCTATCATGACGTGTAGCAGATCAAAGGAGAACCGAAGGAATGTATTCTGTCAAACTTTGACTTGTAGTGATAATATTGTAGAAAGTGGTGTTTGTCAAAATATAAATGGATTTATGGGTAATGAATTATACTTGTACTTTTTGTATTTTTTTCTAAAATTTCACTTCAAGAAATTCATTCCAAATGAAAGAACAGCATTAATTTGATTCTGAAACAATAAATCACTAGATGAAATGTCGTTAAATGGCTTAATGCGTGCTATTAGTTTTCTTCATTGATCTACAATGCTATTGAAATTTCAAGTAATTAGAAAGCAGTGTGCGTAGATAGTGAAATTCCATTAATGGATCCTAGGATGCTAATTTAAACTTTTATTTGATTGAAGAAACTAGAATGAGGTGCTTCCAGTTATCATTCATCATACTTATTAAGGGCTGTACTACAAGAGTTTTTTTTCCATCCAGGTTTTAAGAAGAAAAGTACATTCATTGTTAGGTACTCATTTTAAAATTAGTTTCCTGATTTTTTTTACTTCCTTCTGAAATTATTATAGTAATATGGAATTCCATTTTCATTTTCACTGCGACATGACTATCCTAGAAAACCATTATTTTATAACCTTCATTATCTCTGTGCTGCCTTTCTTTCTGACTTTACATTCTGCTGCTTCCTAATCTAACTAGCTGTGTTGTCAAACTCATTTATTAAATTATACCAGGAATAGCCCTTCCTCTATGCTTGCCTCTCCCTATTCAAATTACTTTGGCATGGTCATCTTGCTTTTGATTTCTCAAGCGTATTTTTTTTTAAAGATGAAACCCAGATCACTTAATAAAGTATTATATTGCTCTCTTCTGTTTAGGTGCTGTTTAGAATTCCCTTTTCTTCTTTACATCTATTTCATAAGTTATATTATAGTCTTCTACAGAACAACAGTCCTTTATACACACACGCACACACACAGAGAGAGAGAGAGAGAGAGAGAGAGAGAGAGAGAGCGAGGGAGAGAGAGAGAGAGAGAGAGAGAGAGAGAGAGAGAGTCACACACTCACACAAACACATACATGCACACATTTGTGGTATTCTGAACTAGTAGCAATTAATAATGTAATAATGCCACACGTGATTTCATAGCATGAAGGATCTCTCCCTAAGACAAACCCAAATATTAATGGAATATTTGAGATTGTCAAATGAACATTTTTTTATTTCTTTAGGGAGCTTATTAAGAATGATTTGGTAAGAATCACCCGGTGGCTCTTGCATGTAACCCCAGAAGTTGCAAGAAGTGTCAAGAATGTCCCCACAATTTTAAAGGTAGCTGGTCTACATAGAGACTTCCAAGACAGTTAGTACTAGATGAGACCAAAAAACAAGAAACAATAATTAGCAAAGGGCATATAAATTAGCTTTTATATTTCAGTATTATTGTCTTAAATATCAGATGAACAAATTTACAAATAATCCAAATGTTATCTAGGCATAGTATTTTCTGTAACAATTATTAACTATGTAAATTAGATACACTTCTCAAATCACCTACAACAAATTCTTAATTGTATGAATGATAAAAATAAGTGCAAGAGTAATATATATATATATATATATATATAGCAAGTGAACATTTCCAGTTTACCTTGATTGACTAATATAGCTCCTCGCTTTGCTTTGCTTTCCTTTGGTAGATACTTGATCCGACCAGATCCATTGTCCTACCTTCCAAACAGTGAACCCAGTAGGAAGAACAGCATCTGCAATGCCGCTGTTCAAGATTCTCGGGAGGAAACTCAACTCTGATGAAAACAAAATACGAGACTTTATTTTCCCTAAGGGATCTTGCTTGAATTCACTAAAATGTTGTAGATGGTCCTAAAGAACTGACTGGAATGTATTCAATTTCTCACCTTTCTTCTATTTAAAAACCAAATCTCTTGTCTCAGAAATACAGATCATTTTGAAACTTAATGTGGTATTTATTGACATTTCCCTGGTTAGTATTTAAATTTTATCAGTGGAAGATTCTGAATATGAGCATAAAATACAGAAGTTAAAATCTGATATTTAACTGTTTAAGAATAATCAGCACTATATGCATCCTAATTTAAAATATTACTAAGAGTGTATGAAAATAAAGAAATCCACATATAGTCAGTGTATCACTAGGGCACTGAAGTATCTTTTTCTCCTTATAAATATGTCATTATATTATTTAAATTTGCTGTTTCTAAAATTGAGCCCATTAAGAATGTATGCTTATCTCTATCTAGAGATTAACCATTAACTTCTGTGGCTGACTTCTGCCTAGGTAGGAATCATAGTTTAGAGTCATTTAATGTCTGTCTTTCCATATATTATTGTGTTCATTTTAGAATCTGAGATATCCATAGCATGTTTAATTATTCAGAAGAAACTAAAACATAAAGAAGTATTAATTACCTGGGCTTTTTGGTAACTTCATATTTAATGGACATTTTATGCCAAGAAATGTTTACTTAAGAGAAAATATTTTTGTTCTCCTAAAAAATAACTAACATACAGAATACACTACATATCTTTTCAGCTAACATGAATGTGAGAATTGAAAAATTACCTGTATATAACAGATGAGCAGTGATGACTTCCATTACTGTTGGCTTTAGTATTTTCCATTTAGCTATATAACAAATTTCATTAGGAAAACGGATCAAAGTTAAAAGAAGAGTATTTATATATTTTATGAACCACAGGGACACTTTTAAGACCTTTAGCATTCTCCAAATGTCTTTGATATTAAATAGTCACACTTAAAATCTGATTTAATATAAAATAATCAAACATATCTCTACTTTACCAGTGTAAGGAAATGTCATTAACAGATATTTATTGTATTTTAAACTAAATATAACCTTTTCAGAATTTGACATAAATTGAATATAACTAATACCTTTGATTTTATTCCCTACTTTTCTCTTGACAAATACAGCAAAGCATGAGAATGAATACATATACAGTTTGCCAAATCTGTAATAAAGTGTTCCATGAGAGATATGTTGGCATATTTCAAAAATAAAAATTGTAATTTTTAACTATTTATTTTCTTTTTTCTTTTTGGTTTTTCGAGACAGGGTTTCTCTGTATTGTTTTGGAGGCTGTCCTGGAACTCCCTCTGTAGACCTGGCTGGCCTCGAACTCACAGAGATCCTCCTGCCTCTGCCTCCTGAGTGCTGGAATTAAAGGCATGTGCCACCAACGCCCAGCAATTTTTATCTATTTCTTTAGTCATGAACTTGACAATTGCAGCATAAAATAATCCATGTAAGAAATGGAATATTTTTTTCCTTTCTTATCATATTGAAACAGATCATAGAAAAATTTTAAAGATGAAATCTGTCATCCTCCCAATAATTGTACAGAAAAAATAGAGTTGAATCACATCTTCTAGCCATTTTACAATTTGACTAGAGAATATAGAATGTCTTTTTTTTTTACTAGTACTTTATATTACCCATAACTTAGAATAAGAAAAACATAAAGAATTCCCTCAAAATAGGGAGATATTCTCTAGTATTCAGAGAAATTTGGTTAGAGCAAGTTACTTCAAATTGAGAGCATGCCTTAAAAAGTCATGATTGTATGCAAATGTGTGTATATGTTATAAATGTGAAATACATTTGAAAGACCTCACATGATGTTATAATTGAAGGCAGAATTAAATTAATGTATGCAGTTGATAAAACACTGAATATGCTGACTTATTTCACATTTGGATATAAGTAGTCAAGTATGATATTTCTTTAGATTGACATTTTTTTATTCCATTACATTTCTTTTAGGAATAAATGTCAGATTTTAAAAGCCTTCTATTTCCCAATGAGCTTTGAAGTTTAGTATTTTTGCAATATGACAGTTGCTAAGACTAGTATTTTAAGCTAGGATATGATTATATTTCCTATAAAATTAGAAATTTTGTTTCATAAATTCTAAAGTAATTATTTTTGATTATGAGTATTAGTCCTAATTTAATATTTGAAAAAATTAATATTGCTTGCTATAACAATGATAGTTTATAGACTTTCCAGTTACTTAAAGAATAAATGATGCTTATTAAAGTCTTTCAACAAACTGTTGCCTTTTTGAAAAAATTACATGCACATGAAGATAAAACATGAAGTAATTGTCCTCTTAGCCCTTCAGTTGGTTTGGTTTATTGTCTATGTGCCATTTTGCTACCAATTTCTTTGAATTGCTTTAAAAATAGATAATAATAAAATTATTTCTGAAGATGATGAAAATCCCTTGGGTTTTTTTTAATGGCAGAACTTTGTTTTGACCAATTATGTTTGAAACTGTTAAAGTACTTTTGTCATTTTTACATACCAAGCCCCAAATAAATGTGAAAGTAATTCATTGGAATGGAATGAAAAATCTATTGAATTATCTCTTAACACTACAGCCTGTGGATCATTATTGGGCAGGAAAAGAGAAGGGAAAAGATGGGTGGGGAAAGAAAAGAAGTGCACAACGGGAAGAAAAAGATAAAGAGGGACTGGGAAGGAACTAAAACTTATTTGAGTACGAATAAAGAAATATATTTTTAATACATTTTACAAAGCAAAGTGTCAGGTCCTGGTATGCTCATGTATAAAATCCAGAAAAACTACTACCTAAGGGAAAAATTAAACTGGTTTCAAACATTGAGTGGTCTTTTCTGTCAGGCAAACACTAGACATTTTTCATCCTATTTCTGTTGCTATGGTTCCTGGAAGAACCCTGAGGTGTTTTTAATGAGGACACAGACTTAGCCATGGACGTAGAAAGATCAAGCTGAGAACAGAGCCATAAGAGAGGGGGCCTGTGAGTTCTCTGCCATTTCATACTGTCTCCCATACATCCTAACCTAATCATGATGTTGAAAAACTCATGGACAATAGACTGTCCCTGGAAATGCATGTTCTGTCCTAAGGATTAGCTACTGGAGCAGTGTGACATCTGTTTGTCCAGACCACTCTGGAAGCTTTTCCAAGATAGTGTATTGCCATAGCCCTTGTTCAGGCGCTTAAGACAAGGACTACTGTAATGTACTGTGGTTATCACACAGTAACTCAAAGGAGCTCTCAGCATGTAGTATACCTCAGAACAACTTTCCCTAGAACCTTGGAGCAGATTTCTAGTGAATTCACCTAGTACAGCACCATTGTGGTTGGTCTCCTTTGTGAGAGATCCCACAGTGCTTTCTCCAATGCACCTAAGCATCAGTCTGAAGAACTTCTCCCAGATCCCTTTAATTTGACCCTGAAGTAGTGGATATGTTTATATATGACTTCACAGATTTCATGTTCTCTTTGCTAACCAATATAATATTGGTCCTATGTTCTCTTAAGAGTTAAATCTTCACTGCCAGCATTTTTCCTTTGTCCTGTATAGAGATTTCTTGACCATCAGAATGAAAAAAAAAAGCTACTTCTTTAGAAAAAAGGGTAAGAAGCCGGGGGGGGGGGGTGCACGCCTTAAATCCCCACACCTAGGAGGCTGAAGCAACCATCTCTGTGAATTTGAGGCCAGCCGGGTCTATTGAGCAAGTTCCAGGATGGCCTCCAAAGCTACAGAGAAAAAAAAAGGAAAAAAGAAAGAAAAGGAAAGGAAAGGAAAAGGGTTAATGGTGATACTCATATACTGGTTCAAAACTTGAACTCATGGATTTGACAAAAAATAAATAGAAGCAATTATATCAGCATTATCTACTTCATCAGTATCAGCCTGAATACTAACTATAAGGAGGTGGTCGCTCCACCTGAACAGGAAAAACAGTACAACATTCATGGTCAGCCTAGGAAAAATAGTGTTTGCAAATCTAAGAGCAGAATGAGGGAAAGAAAAAGGAGAGTTAATCCACAAATGAAAGACTGAAAGACAAAACTAATGAAATCAGAGCAGATAAAAACTGGCCATGAACATGGAATGGAACAGGGTCACAGTTCTGCTTATAGTTATGTGTGTGCCAAGAAAAGTAACTCGAAGAATCTACCAGAAGGATTTCATAACCAAGATCACCACTTCGGAGACTAGTAATAAATTAGCTAGGAACTGCTTCTTGAAACGCCCTAGTGGAGTCACACACACACACACACACACACACACAACCCAGTTTATCGTTGGAGCCTTGGAATTCACTTGCTTGGCTGTAGCGTTGTGTTTGAAGTTTGGAATTCTTGCTAGGTTCTCTACCACTGTCCTGTGGATGCCTTGAGCTATTAAGTCAGGACAGATTTTCTTCTAACATTGTCAAAATCACAGTAGCAACTTACCAAACAGGACATGGACTAAAGTCATATATTTTACACATATTTTATTTATTTTGTATGTCTTTGTTGTGTTGAAAAGCTGTCATCTGAGACCTGATTTATTTAATTGTATTATTTATTTATTTGTTCCCCTCCTACAGAATTGAAAGTTTCCCTGTGCTTGAATAACTTTACAAACAAAATAGAGTTTGGCTGCTTTTCATGTGCATTTAAAAGCAGTTCCTTAATCTACATATTTATTGGATTTACTTTCCTCATTACTACTATAGTTAAATTTTTATATAAAAGTTACAATAAAGTTATGCGTTTTGAAAATTACTTTGTATATAATTGAGCTAATTTTGTAATGAAAAATAAATCTTAAGTTGAAAAAAGGTTGATAATATTTATATGAAATATTATTGACCTGTTGCTGTCAAGGGGTTCAGTGACAGGTTTCTCTTCTCTGCTAATTAAAGAATTAAAAGTCAATAAAGAGTCTTGGAGAATCTTAACACAGTCATCATCAGATACCTAGAACATCAGGAACCCTATGTGGTTCTTAATCTCATTAACAAAAGAATTTTAAAAACCCACTAACAGAAGCTCAAGGACAACAAGACCCTCAAAGGGAAGCTTGAGGACAATTAATTACAATTCAAACAGAAGCCTTAGGGCCTACAAGCTGTGATCTTACAGATGCATCAAAGGAAGAGAGTGGGGAGTAGAAAACCTAGGCTTTGCTGCTGGAGATGACGTAATGTGAAAGTCAGCTCACAGGGAGCAGGCAGCCACACCTTAGACACAGTGTGCAAAAGCAAAGCCTTAATTCCAGAGTTGAAAAGACACCTAAGCTATGGTCCAGTTCCAGTCCCCCCCCCGCAAAAAAAAATAGTAGAAGAATATATAGACTTATATTCCACTATAATATAGACATTCAAAAGTATTCAAAACTTCAGAAGGATATGAGATCATTAATTGTTTTAGTAAGAAATCTAAAATTACATAAAGTGTAAAAAATGGAAAATAATATGCATTTGACAAAATGCTATGATTTCAAACATTCTTGGGCTGAGCATAGAAGACCTGCTGATAAAGTTTTAATGAATTGACTTTTAAGTTTCTGGCAAGGAACAAGCTGTGAAATGACTGAAACTCAGACTGGAAAACACATTTTTAGGGATAATAAAGTATATGATCTTGTCTTGCTACCACTAACTAATGGGGAGAAGCTCCTTACTTTGAAGTACCCAGTATCTTCCAAGCTGATGTGAACAAATTCATTTGTCTCTTGAGACAAATCAAGATTTATTCTTGCACTAGGCAGCACACTGCAATCTAATTTGCAGTCAGAAGAATAAACAGTCATCTCAGAGTCACTGGTATGAAATAAAAAAATAACTTAATCAGACTGTTTTCTTTTTGATTGTTCAGAATATAACATTTTCAGCACATATTTTGGAAAAAAGCAATTTACCTGTTAAGTTATGCAGTTACCAATATGCTTGTGATATCAGTAGTTGCTAAAACCCCTCAACTTTATATGTTCAATTAAAATGTTAGATAATTAGTATCACATTGTATCTCTATATAGTTTCTATGGCAGTCTATTACTGAAGAAACCTCAATCATTTAATGAAGTAATTTTCTTTAGCTAGAATGTTATTCTGGTAGCAGAGTAGTGGAGACCCACACCTTTACTCCCAGCCCTTGGGAGGCAAAGGCAAGCAGATCTCTGTGTCTGAGATCGGTCTTATTCCTTTGGGAGTTGGGCCTATTCTGTAATTTTTTTCTTAAGTTTCAATAAAATGCCTAGTATATATGTGCTATGGCTATGTTAACTTGTTGTTAACGACCCACAGAAGCAATGGTTTAGTATTTTAAATTAGTATTTGTAAAATTTAAAAAATTCTTAGGCAGCCATTATAAAAAAGATAACAAGAAAATCTGCCCTATCACATAATTTGAGCATCTAGACAATTTTTCAATATTAAACTAGTTATGCTCCTCTGACATCCTTCAAATTCTCTTAACACCTTGTTTGCTTACTTCTTTACATAGGATAACCACCAAAGCAATTACTGAGTCCATATAACCTTGACGCGACTGAGCCAAGTAATTTAACATTTTTTTGCATCATAGACAGAAGGCAATTTTCATCTGAATCTGAAATCAATTATTTCTTTGTAATTCATCCAATACTGTCATAGCATAAACCACAAGACATAGATGATGATCAAGGGTTAGTAATTTGTTTTGTGCATTCCACATTGATGTGGCCTCCAGATGTTCTGTTGTGCATGGATTCACCTGTCATTGGCAGCACCTCAGCCCTCATATCCTGACTAAATGGTGGAAAGGTGACTGTTCAGTAAGCTGAACAGCAACTTCCTGATTTTGTGACTAGGTGAAAATTGTGCTCTCCAGACCAAAAGAACGAAGTTGTGCCTGGCCCAGTTTTGATCAACACTATGCAGAGGAATTACTTCATGTCATAGCCTGCTTTACTGCAGAGTACATGTTGAGTACATTGGAGCTATGATTCACCTCAGATGTCACAACTTTGTGATGAAATTAAAAATAGTTTTTACTATCAAAAGTGAACATACATATATATCATATATTTGGAGATACATGGTTCCTAATTTTATTAGTGTATATTAGTTATACACAATAATAAGATTAAGACATTTTGTTACAAATATATTACAAATATAATATATTTTGAAAGTATTTGTCCCTCCTTTAATTCTCTTTTTTCCTCTCCTCTTCTGGTCCCCTTTTACTTTCATGCCTCCCAACTGCCTTTTTGGTAATCCAATGAGTTTAATCATGATTGCTGATATGAGCACAGATGAGGAAGTATTGTAGCATCATGAATAACTTGCCAGCTCCTCGGTGAGGGATAGAGTCTTTTGATCCCTTTCCTTAAACATGAAGGAATGTTGTTGGTCCCAATCTTGTTCGGGTCTCGTGCCGATAATCAACTGGTTCTTGTTCATGAGTACAATCATGCTGAAGGACAGCTGTCTACAATGTTCCACCCCTTCTTCTGGTTCTGTAATTATTTCTTCCACCTCTTTGGAGATGTTCCCTAAGCCTTTGAAGGATGCATAGACATCCTATTTAAAGTTGATCATTCAA